TATATTATATTATATTATATTATATTATATTATATTATATTATATTATATTACATTATATTATATTATATTATTTTATATTATATTATATTAAATAATCTTGTTATTATAATATATAATAATATTATTACAATATTATTTTTAATTTCAATCATACAATATGTAAGTTTGAATTATTTTTGGTGTAATTAAAATACAATGGAAAATATTTTAGTAATTTTCTTCTTCTTCTTCTTCTTCTTCTAGGACACCCTATATATATATATAATAGAGAGAGTAATTAAAAATGATACATCGAGTTTAAAAAAGTTGTATATTACACAAAGTTTTACTAATAACTTGATATATGTTCGTAAAATGGTATATGAAAAGAAATTAGAGACAATGATACAACCCAAAATGAATCATTTTTAACATAAATTAAATTACTTTCTACATGTATAGAAAAAAAAAAAGAAAAAAATAGGTTAATGTAAAAGAAGATAAATTTAAAAAGAAAAACCAAAAAATACGTCTTACATTTTTTGCTGTTACGACGTACCGCCCTTACGATTCGTGGGGTGGTGCGTTTTTCCTTCCTCCTGTCAGGAGAACGCATTAAGCGTTTTTAAACCATATGATTTTTTTTTTTTTTGTTTTTTTTTTTTTTTGTTAACTATAGCGTGCCTTACAATTTTTTATTCTTGCCTTGTTCGCACGCATCTGTGAACAACAAGCAGGCTGAAACTTCTTTTGAATAATTACCAAAGTTTTTCTTGATCTTCTTTAAAACAACCATCAACAACAACAATCCTCTTCTTCTTATTCCTCTCTTTTTTTTTATCTTCTTCTTCTTCTTCTTCTTCTTCTTCTTCTTTTGCCTCCTTTTTGTCACTATCCAAATAATTTTTCTCTTTTGCGAATGTTACCTTGTACTATAAGATGAACAAAATATTGAAATAGAATTAGTTAAAATAATTTTATTATTATTATTATTATTATTATTATTATTATTATTATTATTATTATTATTATTATTATTATTATTATTAAAAAGACAAAGCACAACAAGTGTTAGGTATGTTGTTTCATTTGATAGAATTTCATTTTAATTATATTTTATTGTTTAACACGTTTCGCGTGCCAAGCCCTTTTTATTTGACTTGTCATTAAAGTCAGGTCAATTTTTTTGACTTTAATAAAATCAATCATTACACGTAATTATTAATTATTGTAAATATAACAATTAAACAAAAACTTATGTGTGCTTTATTTTATATATTATGTTTAGAATATTTTAATAGAAATATTTTAGTAGACGCAATTAAATTTGTTATAAACATATATTTTTTAGTACATTAAATAAATATGTCTGATAATATGCGTACCATCGGTGATACACGTGTGACACGAAAAAACGCATTAAATTGTTTAATTTTAATAGAAAAATAAATTTGTCAATCACTTTACCTCATATTTTCTTTTATCACGAAGGGAAGTAGCAAATTGACGATTTGAAATTGCAAAAATCTTCTTCCTACCTTCTCCCAAATCTACAAGTGTATGTTGTGTGTGTGTGTGTGTGTGTGAGTTTGTATATAAAATAAGGATAGAAGAAAATTTATTGTACTTCGAAATAATGAAGTAATTACTTTTTATTATTATTATTAATATTATTATTTATAAATAAATTATAAAAAAAACAAAAACACACACACACTTACATCACTTACGTAATTTTGATTGCAAGCATTGACGATGATTATTGATCGATGGTGATGATGTGTTTAGAACGTTTAATGATCCTTCAAGAAGATTTGGTGTTAAATCTTGATCGATATTTTGTTTTATCGATGATAAAAATTGTCGTGAATGTTGTTGTTGTTGTTGTTGTTGTTGACGAAGTTTCGATCTGTTTTTTTTTATTAAAACAAACCAAAAAAGAAAAGATTAACGGCAGATAAATGAAACAAATAATAAAATTGACAAATTAATAAATTAAAATTGACCAAAAAAAAAAAATAAAAAAATAAATTAAAAATGTTTTTGTTTTTTTTTTTTGTTAATTTTCTTACAAATATTACAAAAATATAATTGAAAATATTTGTTTGTTTACCTAGGATTTAAAAGATCGAGTTCTGTCGATTCTGAATTATCGTCGTCCTCAGTCGATGATGTAGAAACACACGAATTCTATTCAAATTATTATAAACAATAACTATATACATTAGGATGGGTCAAAAAAATCAATTATTATTTTTTTTTTACAAGTGCCACGGAAAAATGGGTTGTTGTTAGACAACCTTAAAAAAAATTCTCACCAAATATGAGCTCTTCATTTTAATAGGATGAATCTTCCGCATCGCAGTTTTTTTACTTTTTTTTTTCTCAGTCTAATAGAATAAAATTCATAACTCGTGATTAATTGATTGTACAGAAAAATGTTCTAGACAAATTTTGTAGGAAATTAAATGCTCTACAAAAAAGGTATCTTATGTTTTTTCCATAAACCTAACCATTTGAATGATATTGAAGATTTAAGTTTGATGATTTTCAGACAAATTTCATTTTTTTTGTTGATGAATTTTATAACTTGACGATAAATGATTATTATAAAATGTGCAATAGAAATTTTGATAGGAAATTAAGTGCTCTATAAAAATGGTGTCTTGTGTTTTGGCGATTAAATTAAGCGTTCAAAAGATATTCATCATCAAACATTCATGTGTACTGATTTCTGTCAGTGAATATCTTTGACACTTATAAGTGACACATGTATAACCGTGGGACACTTGTAAAAGACAAAATAATTGATCTTTTTTTTTGACCCACCCTAATATATATATATATACATACATATAATAAATATACAAAATAAAAAAAAGAATATAATGTCCATTTTGAATTCTACTACTTACATTGTAACACCTCAAATTTCTTCGCATTATATATATACCACACACGTTTGATTAATTTTTCATCATCACACCACACCCATGATCCTTCCCATAATAATACTTTCTTTTGATATTTTAATTACTTTTCTCAATTCTTCGTTTTGCGTTCGCGGTTCGATGCAATTAGAGAAGAAATAAGAAAAGAAAAGAAAAAACCAAAAAAAGAAAAAAACAGAAAAATATTACGCTATAAAAATTGATGTGTTGCGAAAAAAAAAAAATCGATGATGTTTGTGACATTTAAATGTAAAACAACCGGAACATTTGCAGAAAAAAAAATCGTGTCGTTGAGGAAAAAAAAAAAAAAAAAAAGAAAAAAAACCCTTAGAAACCAAAACAATTTTTTTAACAGATGAAAAACGTTGCCAAACTTTTTCCAAGCTTATTGAAAATTATTACAACATTATGGCAAATGTATATTATGGGGAATTTATGTTAACAAAAATATTTCAAAAAAAAATTATTCTCACGTTCGGAATGTTATCGTCGTCTGTTGATTAACAAGGTTTTTGGGGTTTTGTAAATAAATTTACAAAAACAAAAATAAAATTATGTAACTGTTCATGTCATGTTGTTTACCATCTTTCAGTAAATAAATAAACAAACTGAATCGGTAAAAGTAGAATGTTATAAAGGTAAACAGTGTTGACGATGTAGATTTGAAGAATTTGTTCATTGGATTCTTCGTTAGAGGGTACTACGTGTATCTATTTACAATTATTATAAACAATATTTCATATCTTTTAAATAAACATTATTTTATACACTCATTATACAATCTATTGCATTAGTGTTTCGTTTTAAATCGTATTTTTTTCATAAAACATTATTTAAAACAACTACAAAATATATATTTCAAGGTAAAACAACTTAGTATTATGAAATAATATATAAAAATTAATATAAAAATTAATTTAAAAAATTATTTGACACATTTATTAAATTTATTACATATTTATTGCAATAATATTTAATTCGTTTTAAATTGTACTTATTCATAATTATTATTTAAAACAATTACAAAATATATATTTCAAGTTAAAACAACTTAGTATTATGAAATAATATATAAAAATTAATATAAAAATTAATATAAAAATTATTTGACACATTTATTAAATTTATTATACATTTATTGCAATAATATTTAATTCGTTTTAAATTGTACTTATTCATAATTATTATTTAAAACAATTAATAAATATATATTTCAAGTTAAAACAACTTAGTATTATGAAATAATATATAAAAATTAATATAAAAATTAATATAAAAATTACTTTAAACATTTATTAAATTTATTATACATTTATTGCAATAATATTTAATTCATTTTAAATTGTACTTTTTCATAATTATTATTTAAAACAACTACAAAATATATATTTCAAGTTAAAAAAACTTAGTATTGAAATAATATATAAAAATTATTTTACACACTTTATTATGCAATCTATTGCATTAGTGTTTAATTTGTTTTAATTTATATTTTCAAAATTATTAAATAATAACAATAATAATGTTTAAAATGTTTTAAATAAAATATAACTACCCCATGTATCCCGAAAGGGAATCATTATTTTAAATAAATAAAAATAAAATAAATAAATAAAATATAACTACAAAAAATTATATTTATATTTAAAATACAATGTATAAATTAGTATTGAAATAATATAAAACAATATTTAATTAAATTACTCATTATTTACACGTATATGTATTTTAGTAGCAATAATTAAAAATCAATATCACACAATGAAATGCATTAAACATGTTTAAAACAATAAAATTATTATCACATTATTATTTAATAAATTTAATTTCTTTTTTTTTTTTTTATTTACTTCCTTACGTTTCTTAATTTAAATATTGAAAAAAAAAAAAAAAAAAATATGAATTAAAAAAGGAGTCACATTTATCTTTCAAGAACGAGAGTTGATTTTTTGTTTGTTTGATTTAAGTAAAAAAATAAATAAATAAATGTAAATAGTATAAACATGATTATTAATTGTATTATCACAATATTGTTTAAACAATTTAATTTGTATTAAAATTTACTCCCTCCTACGTGTTTTATTTGAAATATAAAAAAAAAAAAATATGAATTTTAAAATGAAACTCATATTTTTCTTTCAAAAAACGAGAGTTGATTTTTCTTTTCTTCTGAATTTTTCTTATGTTTGATCTAACCTAATGTAAGTAAAAATAAATAAATAAATAAATAAATAAATAAATAAATATGTGTAAGTAGTAGTAAAAGTAGAAAAAGGTTAGTGAGTTAAGTATTGTGTAGTAGAATGAAAATACGATGGTTGATTGTGGGAATAGGACACGGGTTGTGCCTTCCTTGCCTGCCTGCCTGGTTGGTTGGTGGTGGTTGGTTGGTGGTGGTGGTGGTGGTGGTGGGCTGCATCGATCGTTTCACCGTCCTGGTGACCTCGACCTAATGCCACCCTCTCTGCTCTTGAGTACAGAAAGAGACCTCCCTTTCCTTCATCCCTTCATCCTCTTTCTCCCTACCTATTTCCAACATTACCTTTTCTCCTCCTCCTCCTCCTCCTCCTCCTCCCTTTCTTCTTGTTCAGTTCTCCACCTCGTATTATTACTGCTGCCTGCCACTTCTTCTTCTTCTTCTTCTTCTAGAACTGCTGTTGTTTTTTTCTTTTCTTTTCTTTTTAGTTTTTTTTTTTTTTTTTTAACATCTCTTTTCCCTTTTATTCTTCCAGGGACCTCTATCCATTGTGTTCATCCATTTTTTTATTTTTTACTTTTTAATTTTATTTTCTAAAAGCAACGGGGTCAATTAATATCCCCGTCAAAACATAAAAAATACGATGGA